AAGTTTAAGATTAACAAAACCTTCCAAATAAGATCAGCTTATAAGAAGTAAGGTAATGTTTAAGAAAACTGAAAATGCTAACTTTATTTAATCAAGGTGTTTATTTTAAAATTTATGGTTTTTATAAGATCTGTTAGTGACTTGCTGCTCTAGAATATTTTGTTATTCAATGGTGATTTTTGAGTAACAATTTCTAATAATTAATGGGGAGCTGCTAAAAAAATTTAGATATGCCAAGAGGGGGGTCAGTTTGTGTAAAGATTGTGCAGGTAGACCATGTAAGCAAAAATGACCAAGTGAAAGAAAACAGAAGGAAGAAACTGAAGATGGTGAGAGTACTGTTAAGACGGAAGACGGATTCGCTGACGACGAAGAAGAGTTTCATCTAGGGGTGGACTCGGGTCCGGGCCGGGTCCGGGTCGGGCCTAGGCCCGGGTGGGCCGGCGGTTCAGGAATGGTGGACCCGGGACCGGCCCGGGTAGCCACCGGGTCCGGGCTGGGCCTCCGGTTTGGATTTTTTTTTTTTTGCTTTCCTAACCCACCCTCCCAAACCCCCCCAAACCCATCCTACCCATCAAGCCCAACCCGGGTGGAACCCCAAGAATGAAAAAAAAAAAAAAAAAAAATCAATTTGGCCCGGGCCCGGGCCCGACCCGGCCGGACCGGTTCACCAAATTTGAGACCCGAGCCCGGACCCGCCCTACCCCCGGGCCTAGGCCCGACTTGGACCCGGACCCGAGAACCGGGCCGGGTGGCCCGACCCGAGTCCAACCATAGATGACTATATATATGATTGTGGGTGCTAAATTGGTAGCTTCTAATATATTTTTTGAGTCTTGGATTGAACAGTTTAGTATAAAAATTGGTAGATTCTCATCTATTTTTTGAGTCTTGAATTGAAAAGGTTGGTGTGATAAAGATGATTTATCCATTACTTATTTTTATGAAAACTTGGCATCTAAAGAAACTAAAACTTTGCTATTAAAAGCCACATTTGTATATTAATGCAACTTTTTCATATTTTTATGCATATTATACTCCATTTAGCAAACTTCTAAAATATTTCCTGTGTTATAACAAGGTGTGATTTGTAATTTGTAATATTTCTCTATTTAGGCATGAGCAATTTGTAGTATAAAGTTAGTATATTATTTTGTTATAATAAAATGGGAGGATTTTTTTTGGAACAACCCAAAAAAGAAAGTGAGAAGAATTATATATGACAGAAGGAGTATAATTTTTAATTTACTTTTATGAATTACTTTTTATGTATAAATATTGAACAAAAAAAATTTCACCCTGTGTATTGTACAGGTGTGATACTAGTTTATTTGAATAGACAACAGTTGTGGAGTCTAAGACGATGAGTTTCCCGATTGTGTTGACTTTCATTTTTATCATCGTAAAGGTGATAAGTAGTTAAATTACAACAAATAGGTGTCAACACTCTATTGCATAATTTGGAGAATAATTCTATCTCATGCATCACACAAGTACTACATTAGTTAACGACTAATAGCTAGTAAGTAGCAAACTAGCAATATTAATAGCTAGAGCTGTTTATTCTTTGTCTGCTACACAAACACAATGTTGGTATCATTATCCTCCTTTTATTGTATCGGCTTTAGCCAACGATTTGATTAATATTAATTAAGTTCCATTTTCACAAATAAAGGTAGCAAACTAGTAATTTGTTATACCTAGTACTTTTGTTATCTTTATTGTTAGTCCAAAAACGATTATTATTGTTATTATTATTACTAATTAATTAAATAAAAGGCCATGAACCGGATTGGGCTAGTGAACTTCAGTTTCCAAATCGGAGTCGCTATGCAATTTCGGACCCTGCTTGGATTAAAAAAAGTAATATTTACATAATTATATCTAGAATATAGATCGTTTGCTAAAATATGATTTCTTATAATCTTATGTGCGGTGACAAAGTAGTAACTTAGAGCTAGTAACTTATTATGTTCAATATTTACACTTTTATCAAGAAAGTGTATTATATTAGTCATATTTTTGTAAATAAATTTTATTTCAGTAATATTTTCGAAAAATCTCTTAAAAAATGGCAATTTTGGTTTTGAGTTCGATTCAACCAGAAACCAAGGACTGTTCAGGAATGCCTAATGTCCTGTTTGCTTTGAACATTTTTAAGCAGAATCGGTTCCAACCTATGTAGCACAGATACTTCACTAGGGTACCGTATCGACGTATAGGAAACGTTCCCGTATCCGATACTCTAGGATACCTGTATCGTACGTTCCGAGGCCGTATCAGTAATTTTTAAATCCATTTTTTGGTAATTATTTAAAACTTTTGGATACCGGTATCCACACGTATACATGTATCAACGTTTTTAATAAAAAACACCCAAAATTTACATTATAAAATTTTTAGAAATGAAAAACTAAAAATAAATTTTATCTTGCTTTTACGGAATACACAACTAATGAGTCTATCCATAATTTATTCATCTTTAATTTACTCCTCTAGCCTATCTCTGATTCATTCATTTTTTATGTTGTACACAACGAATGGGTTTATTCCTGACTTTTGGATGACGATGTTATCCTAGAAATTAGTAGCTCCAATAGAAATATGTATCGGAACTTTTAGATTTTTTTTCCTAGGAAAAAGTACGGAAACTGTACTTGTGTTTGAGCCCGTTTTCATATAGGGTCATGTGTTTCATTCTTTATCAAAGTGATTTATGTGTTTGAATTCCGTTATCATAAGAGGGTCACGCCGTTAAAAGCGTCTGAAAAAGACCGTTAAAAATAATTCTAATTTTCAAAAATGCCCAAAAAATTAAAAGAAAAATACTGGAAAGTGCGCCTCAAGAAGACGACCGCTAGGCCATCTTTCTTTTTTGTTTTCAACCACCCTTGTCACCGGAAAGTCCATCGGAAAAGTGATATTAGCGAAATCATTTTTAAAAAATAATTCAAACATATCTGAAAGATCCAAAGGCAAAGGTGGTTTGAAGGTCATCTTGATGAGGCGCACCTTTCTGTATTTGTCTTTTAATTTTTTGGTCACTTTTGAAAATCGGAGTTACTTTTAACGGTTTTTTCAGACGTTTTTAACGGCGTGACTCTCTTGTGATAACGGAATTCAAACACATGAACTACTTTGATAAAGAATGAAACACATGACCGTATCTGAAAACGGGTCCAACCATAAGTACTTTTTCCGTACTTTTCCTTTTTTTCTATCTTTATTATCCAAGAACATTGAGTAATTACACTTTTAATTTAAAAAATGTGGCAGTTTGACTTGTTTATCATTTTAAACTAATGGTGTACTATCGTATTACCTATATTTATATTTCGAGATTCACTAGTATATACGATAGTACTACGCACAGTATTATGAGATACATTATGAATTTATTTCTAAGTATCTTGATAATTTAAACTGTTTCAATGCCATGAATGAGTAGAGATCAGAGTATATATATATATATATATATATATATATATATATATATATATATATATATATATATATGACAAATGTTCAGGTCCGGAATTCCGGACCAGAACCGCCGTCCGGCCGACGGCATTTGGGGCCCTTCCCGGTGGTTTTTTTCGATGAAATTTTTATGACATGTTCTTCATCAAGTCTGTGCGGGCCCAGACCGGCCCAGTGAACCGGTTGGTACCCGGTTCGGGCCACCCGGCCCGATGAGGTAGGCAGGCCGAGCCCGGCCGATTCGGGCCCAGTCCGGGCCAAATTATTTTTTTTTGCTTTTTTTTTGAAATTTTTTTAAGTTTTTGGGTTGGACTGGGTATGATGGACCATTTGAGGTGGTTTGGGGGTGAGGGGGGAGGGTTGGGGGTTAATTAGGAAAAGCCAAAAATATATATATATATATAAGAACCGAGGCCCGGACCGGACCCGGGGTTACCCGGGCCAGTTCCGGGCCTCCCCTTTCATGAACCGAGGCCCGGCCAGGCCCAGGCCCGAACCAGGCCCAGGACCGAACCGGGCCCGAACCAGAACCGGTCCACCCCTATCCTTGAGAGTTTGCATTGCTATTAGAGTTTTATGAGTTTTTTCATAACGTATTATGATATCATTATAGACAGAGTTTCGTTTCCAATTAGTGGTGGACTCGGGCCGGGCCAACCGGCCCGGAACCGGACCGGCCCGCTACTGTGCGGGCCCGGACCGGCCCGGTTTGTTGGTTAGGTCACGGTTCGGGCCACCCGGCCCGGTCATGTAGCGGTTCGGGCCCGGGCTTATAATTTGGTGAACCGGCCCGGGCCTCAACGGTCACAAAAAAAAAAAATTTAAAAAAAATTTGAGGGGTCTACTAGCCGTTGGGAGACCTCCCAAACGGCTCTATAGCCGTTGGGAGCATAGGAGGGGGGGTCTGGGGGGGGGGTGGGGTGGGGGTGGGGGTAGGGTATACAAAAAAAAACCTATTTATACTCCTATTTTCTATACATTTTTTACACCTACAACTCTTTCTACTCTCTAAAATCTAAATTCTCTATTCTCTTAATCTCTCAAATTCAATCATCTTCATTCTTCATCTTCTCCAAATTCTTTCTACATATATATAATTTATATAATTATTATATCTACTTATATATTATAATATTAATTATCTACTTATAAATATATACTTATACACATTCATATTATAATTCTTTACGCATTATATTATATATTACTTATATAAAAAAAATTAAATAGGCCCGGCCCGGCCCGTGAACCGGGCAGGTGACCCGAACCGAACCGGACCCAGGGTTATCCGGGCCGGTTCCGGGCCTGCCTTCCTAGAACCGAGGCCCGGCCGGGCCCAGGCCCGAACCGGGCCCGAACCGGCCCGAGTCCATTCCTATTTCCAATTGCTAATTGTTATGTACGTGTTCAGTTGTTCAGGAAAGTTGGGATTTACTTGAAGCAATGCACTGAGTTATTATCTTTTGGAAAACGAGAATCCTTGCTTTTGACGTTCCCCAATTTAAAAAATAATGTTGAGACTTGAGATCTACGAAGGTTAATTGAAATAACATAGACCAGTTCCAATTTAATTCTTTGCAAATTTAAAGATTTGTTTGCAAGATAAACATTCAATGAAACCTGCAAGCTTATAAACCAATAAACTACCAAGCGAGCAAATCTTTAGTTAAACAAGAGTACAAACACTGGCTCATCAAAATACAAAAACCTGAATTTTTTATTTTATTAATAGTTGAATACACAAACTTCACTCGGGGGGACACGAAACATGGATCAGAATCTTCTAAAGTGTGTGTGCCCTTCGTAAATCTGCAGTTGAAACATCCATACACTTATAATGGAAACAAATAATTGCAGAACATATGTAAGAATGCCTATTACATTACATACAAAAGCATTTATAAGAATGTTTACAACAGCAGTTAGATGAGCAGCCATGTAAAAAGTGCAAACTGAGAAACTCAAAGGCTGTCAACCCCATAATCTCTCAGTGTCAAATAAATCACCACAACAGACAGTCAAAAAATTGATGGTTTGGGATTATTTAAAGCAGATTGAAAATAATTGGGGTTATTTCGTCAAGTGATGGAAAATGTCTCATGTACATCCAAAAGTCATATTTTTTGTACTAAAAGAGTAACAAATTAAGACATTAGAATAAACAATGAAAAATGATCGATTGATGTGTTTAGGCTTGAGCTTGAGTGGTGGAAACAAAGGGTCAAGGCACCCTGGCCGGCCAATTCGGTAGCATAGGCTATGCATCCAGCAACCCACTTTTTTGCCAACTAGGCCTAGGGCCTGTTTTTAGAACAAAGATTCTAACCTCAAAGTACTTCATTGAGAAAGGATTCAGGATTATCCTTAATCGTTGTCTTCCTTGCCATAGTTATAAATTATCTCAATCTGCATCACCAAGCAAAAGCAAAAATTTCAATGATGTGTAACTTCGGATGTGAGATCAGATGTGTTAAAAAAATCATATTATAGAAAAAAGTGGGAGTAAACATTCACTATATGTTCGCTAAATGATAAGGAGAAAAGAAAAGCTCAAGCAATTTACCCCAGAAGGAGGCTCTGGATTGCGGTTAAATTTGCTACCACCAGGAGCCCATGGAACTGTTAATTGACAAGAGAAATAAAATGTGATTTTTTCAAGGTGAAACAAACCATCATTCAGGATGGTTGGAAGTTGCCAGTTTTTAGTTTATGACTGTAAAAGGTACACAACAGTTGCATAGTAAACAAAAACTACTCATACAGTCACACTTGTGCTAATAATGTTAGTCCTGAAAGCTGCCAAAAGAAAATAAAAAATCACGTTTGTGGCTTCCAAAACGTGGGTCTTGGTTTTCAACATAACTGAAAAACTGACAACTCGAAAGTCACAACCACCCTGAACAGGACCCAAGCTAATCATGTAGTTACAATCCTTGTCATAGAAGAAAAACTAACTTACCAATATAAGGATCAGGATGCCTCCACTTATTATAGGTGGCTTCAGCATCATCTATCATCTTATCAATTGTTTCAATATCTTCCTGGGTGTCATCAAAAGGTAATGATAGCAACATTGTGTGTGGATATAGCTCTAGGAGCCGGACTGAAAAATATTGATTACCCAAATACTACTTAAAATTGTTAAAGTAAAGCAGCTTTATGTAGATATGGCATGATCACCATTCAACAAAATGCCCAAGGGCCCAAGATTCAAGATTGCTATATTTACCTAATCTACGACCACAATGAAAGCATAACTACTATTTTCAGTATGTATTCACAACTAACTGGCACAGACAATTGAGATGAGATTTTTTTCAATCAGTGACCTAAGCAAAATATTTTTTCAAAACCGGAGATAATTAGATGAATACATCCGGAGAGTACTTGCTTAATGGAAGCTATAGCCAGTAAAACTTTCTTAACAGGATTTAAAAGGGTACTGTGAGGGGCTATCATCTACAGAATCAAAAGACTCAACAATCGACATCAAACCCCCCACATTCCCTCATAATAAAAAATCAGGCATTTTTTTTAATTACTGAACTGATCATACAGTGTGGTCAAATTAGGTTAGCCGCAACCATTTCTAGCCGGTAATTGGGCTTTGACCCACAATTAAAGCAAAAAAACTGCAAATTCGTAAATTTCGAAAAAGAAACGTAATTTGAGAGGAAATGGAAATGCAGACGAACCACGTGTTTGTTAGCATCGAACCTCTGCCTGAGAGCATCGGCCTGAAAGAAGCACACAACATCTCCAGTTATGAGTTGCAGTGATAGGGGTTAAGCGAGTGAAAAAGAGGAAGTGTAGATCGAATCGGACGAAGCCCTATAAAAGGGGGAGGAGTACATCATTATAGAAGAGGTGGCGATGGACGGCCCAGTTGAGTGTGTCTTTGAGGGCACGGCGGTATAGAATCCGCACTCTCTCCTTCTGCGCTGCTCTTCGAGCTAGGTACGACGCGGATGCTACAGCTCCGCTCATCTCTCTCCCTCAAATCTCTTCGCTCGAAAGATAAATCACTTATGTCCACCCTGAGATCGAACCCAGAACTCCCAATCTAGCTAGTCTTGGAACATGGCCCAATATCTCTCCAAAAATTTCACTCAATTTTTATTAAGGACGCGTTTACAACTTTATAGATTATTAAACAATGTTTATTAAGACTCACGTTAATAAGCGACACATAAAATAAACAGTGTTACAAGTTCATGTTTACTTCAAAGGATTTAAAACACTGTTTAATATTAAAATGTCCAAAATAACTCTATACATATATAGACACAGAAACATTAATGAACACAAGTATATAGTATAATATGTGGGGGTCACCACGTACGCGTATGCGTACCCATACCCCTAACTAGGGCTGTTAACGAGTCGAGCCGAGCCCGAACATCCAAAACTCGAGTTCGACTCGATAAGGAATTAGTGTGTTCGGGTTCGAGCTCGAAGCTCGGCGAGCTTTACAAATGAGGCTCGTGTTCGGCTTGATAGGCGTTCGATGTTCGGACCGAGCTACCGCTCGATAAGCTCGATAAATATGCTCGAATTTAAAATTTTAGGTGATGCTCGTTAATAGGCTCGTGCTCAAATGATTCGATAAGTATTCGATTCATTAATAATCATATTTAAATTCATAGAATCATACTAATTATATATATATAAATATATATATATATATATATATATATATATATATATTATATTTATAATTTCAGGGTGTTCAATAGGACCGAATTCGAACCGAACCGAATACTACTATGTTCGAGTTCGACTCGATTACTTTTTCGAACTTTAAACTCAGCTCGGGTTCGAGTTTGAAAGCTCGTTAAGCTCGGCTCGTTAGGTTCGAAACCGAGCTCGAGCTCAAATAGTTCGATAAAAGCTCGGTTCGTTAATAGCCCTACCTCTAACCCCTACCCGCCCTACACCTGTACCACCACCCCTACCTTACACTCCACCCTACCCCTACCATGACCTTACCCTCTACCCCTTACTCCCTTACAACCCCCATACTCCTAACCCTACCCTACTCGTATCCCCGACCCATGTACCCCTACCCCCTTACCCCTACCTCGTAGTCGTACCCTTACTCCTACCCCCTACCTCCCCTACCTTGACCAGTAAGCTCGTACCCCTACCGATTAACCCCTTATACTATGGTAAGGAGAGGGGTAGGGTAAGAGTTTCTAATAGGGGTAGGGTGAGGGGTAGGTAGGGGTAGGGTTAGTGTATAGGGACATGGAGGGGGTAGGGGTAGGTAAGCTTAAGGGGTTAGGGGTGAGGTAGGTAGGGGTATAATGGGGTAGGGTACGAGATAGGGGTAAGGGGTAGTCGAGGTAGGGGAGGTGGCAGGGTAAATTTGGAAACTGAAAAGGCTTAAAGTGCTGCTTAATTAATACATGGGGGGTATGCTTAGTAAACGAGACTTTAAGCACCTCTTTCGATTAGTGAACAGCTTTTTAAGCAGCTTGCGTGTTACTTCACATGTCTTACTAACATAACTGTGACCTTAGCGACGAAGTAAACACGTCATAAGTTACTATATTACTCCTCTGTTCAACTAAAATTATTCCATTTTATTTTTTCAGAAAATTTCACTAAGATTGTCTCATCAAATTTGATAGAGTTTGTAAGACTTTAAATAAATGTTACTTTATTCTTATTTTATCAATTTAATATCAACCATATAAACTCATTTTTCTTAATATAATCATGTTACCTCATCTTGTTCCAATGTTAGTCAAATTTAATACGGAGTAAAATATTAAGGATGGAGAGAGTTTTTTTTGGAAACCACTAATATTAGTAATTTAGTACTCCTTCCGCCCCGTAGAAAGATTCTCACTTTCTTTTTTTGAATGTCCCATATAAAGATATTTTTACTTGGACTGTTTTCAGTACCAGACCAAATCAGACCAGATTAGATCAAATATAGATAGTTATAAAATACACTGGGAGCAGACATTTACCATTCCAGATCAGTTCAGGCCATACCAGATCAAATGTTTATATTTTAGGAAACAATTTACAATTTTAAATGACAATTTAATCATTACATTTTAAAAACAATGAGTTTATAACATCGTAGTTATCAATACTAAACTCATTATATTACATACCTATTAAAAATTTTTCTCAAAATATACTCGAATTACCTTATTAAACTATTGTCTAAATAACCGTTCCGTTTTGCCATGAGAACCTTCCAACGGGATGGAGGTAGTATCATACGTAGTATTATTATTAGGATTAGATTTGTTACACCAAACATAGAGAGACCAACATCGAGTAAAGAGACTAACATTGATAACAATTATCTTCAACCGACTACCACTATTGATATATGATTAAACATTGAGACAATCACCTTTAAAGGACAATAAGAATTGGCAATCAAGACACGACCATTACTGGACATATATATTTTCTTACTTCTAAATTGTCAGTCATACTTGCAAAACTAATACCAAAGGTTTCAACAAATAACATCACGACATAATAAAACATAAAATTAAAGTAACTGACAAGAGCTCCATACACCCTCTGTAGTACTACCCTTTCTAATCCCTAACTGATGTCACATTTAGCCAAACAAACCTTTCCCTTGATAAAACCATATTCCTCTTTCCAAGCAGGCATCTCTTTCTTAGCTTATTTGTCTCAAATTATATTTAGACATCTTACACTCAGACTTGTCTCAAATTATATTTCCATTAACGTTGTTTACATTTCAACTTGCTCTTAGTTACATTTTCATTAACGCGGTTTACATTTCAGCTTGTCTTGATTTACATTTTCTTTAACGTGATTTACATTTCAACTTGCTTCAAGTTACATTTTTATTTACACAATATACATTTTGACTTACATCAAGTTACATTTCTATTAACGTGATTTACATGCATTTCAACTTGCAACATGTTACATTTTCATTAACACGATTTACATTTTGACTTGTCTTAAATTACATTTCAATTCATGCGATTTACATATTGACTTGTTTCAAGCTACATTTCATTAACCCAATTTACATTTTGATTTGTTTCAAGTTACATACTATTTTTCTTTAGTTCAAATGTATTATATACTCCTTCCATCTCAAAAAGGTTTGCCAAATTGACTTTTTTTGGTCAATGACATTCAACTTTGACCAATGATATTTTTTAATATGAAAATATTTCGAATATGAAAATTATATAAAAATGTTCCTTATTCAAAATATTTTCATAAAAGTATAAAATTTATAAATTATACTATCCTCCATTCCATAAAAGTTGCAACAGTTTGACTTTCACGTTTGCCAATGCGCAACTTTGACTGTAATTATATTTATTTACGTATTAGTAAACATTAAAAAAAGTTAATATATTGGAAATTTACATGAATACAAATTTATTAATATTTTATACATAATATTTTTATTATATATATTATTAGAAAATCGTAGTCAAAGTAAGATGTGTGAATAGTGCCGAAATTCCAATGTTGCAACTTTTATGGAACGGAGGAAGTATACAAATATAAAAATTAAAATCATTGTCCAAAGTTTGTCATCATTGACTAAGTAAAGTCAATAATCAATATGGTAAACCTTGTCAGGACGGAGGTAGTACTACATACTGTCGAAGTCCACTCTAGTCTAGTCTGGTCTGAAGTCTAAACTGTTATGTGTCTGATATGGAGTTTAAATAAGTCCAAGTAAAAACATCCTGAGAGACACATTTTTTTACAAATATCTAGTGTTCTTATAATACTTATTGTTGTTTTTGTAGAAATAAAGACAATCGCTGGAAATGATAATTAATGCTCCACAAAGACAAATATTCCTGGAGGGAGTAATATGTGGGGCATATAGTACTCATTTACATCTATTTGAAGTGATCTCTTTTTAATATTCTGGTTCTAGCCTCCTCTAATACCTAACTCCTTTTGCAACCTCAAAAAAATGGGCAACATTTTCCTCGGGTGTACCTACCTTAATCCCATGTCCGAGGTTCAGAATATGTTTCCCCTTACCCGCCTTTCTAACAGTGTCATGTATGCGGTTGGTGATAAATTCCTTGGAACCAAACAGGACCCCGGGATCAACATTTCCCTGAACTGCCACATCAGGACCCAACCGTCTCCTACCATCAGCCATATCTACTGTCCAGTCCAAGCTGACCACATCTACTCCCGTCAAGGACAACCTCTCTAGTAAACCCCCGGATCCACTTGCGTATATGATCAATGGTAGGTCAGGATGAGTTTTCTTAACGGAGTCCACAATCTGCTTCAGGTAAGGAAGACTAAACTCTTCAAAGTCCACTGGGCTGAGCTCAGTTGCCCATGAGTCAAATATTTGAACTGCCTGAGCTCCACTGTCCGCTTGGTAGCGTATGTATTTGGCCATAGAGGTTGCAAATTTTTGAAGAAGCGTGTGAAGGACCTGCAAGAAAACAATGACCAGCATCAAAAGGCAGCCTTGACCCCAATAATTTAAGGTTTGTTTGGTTGGCTCTTTTTGATACGGAGTATATAATAACTCCTAAATTTCCGGAAATGAAAGAAAGGTGATAAACAATTTGAAATGTTATTTGATTGCATAGTATGTTAACTTAATTTATTAAATCTTAAAATGTAATTCCTGTGTACTTCTTTAGTTGTTCCAATTTCTTTGTATGATGGATTCTTATAAAAGAAATTGCCTTGAATGAGTACTATGTTCTTGGCCTAACTAGAATTAATTAGAAAAACATTGTCATACTAATGTATGATGATACCATAATATGGCAATATGATTTCAATATGGCAGTACTTTACTCATATACTCCTATTTAGAGAAAAACACATTGTACTCCAAACTTAGGAAAATCACCTTGTCCTTTCTCCTATTTAGGGAAATTTCCCTTATTAATAATACTTGTTCCACTTTCTGTTGTTGGAAAATCTTTTCTTTCCAACTTTTCTTATTTATTCATCTTCTCTTCTACATTTTATACATTGTTCACTAAGCATTAATATATACTCTTAATTTCCATAAATAACTTGCTAGTAAAAGTAAACTGTAGGAGTACCAAAATACACACTAGTCTTAAAATGTCTAACATACAATCCAAGATTCCAAGCAGGCCGCTAGGCTCTAGCTCTCCTAGTGCCTTTTATAGCACTTAAGGAAGGTTCAGAGTTCAGACCTATTATTCCCGTCATCCCAAACAAAGTCTTGTTTGGACAAGGCACGACTTTTTGAATCCGCCAAGGCACTACTGTCAAAAGTCATGCAACTTGTATTTTTAGAATTTACTTCTTGGTCTAACTATATATTTCAATATTTGACTTATTTGTATCCCTTTTTAAAAAATCGCATGCAAATTTAGCTTCGTTGATGAAATATAAGTTTTTGTGGGACATAAAGAGATTTGAAAGATGACTTTTGGGTAGGAGGGAGTAATTCAAACAAACTTTAAAGTAAAAAATTTACACATGAGAAGTTTTTTATACAACTTGGGTTGGGCCATGTAAGAACTTTTGAACTAAAAATGGTCATCATAAGTCAAACAACATAAGATATAATTTGTACCATTAATAGTATTACTCAGAATGGAAGCAGTAAAACAAACTGCCTTCAATTAGAAATTACCTTGGGCTGTGAGAAAGCTAGTCTCTTTATTTTTGTGAAGTTCTTAGATGAACCACCTTCAACAACATAAGATGCCAGAGTAAAAGGTGCCCCGACGAATCCTAAAACTGCAGCTTCATTATGAACCTAAGAAATTAAACATGCAAATCAATCTTACTGTTTAGTAATACTTGTGATTATTTATTATGACTGCAGTTTATTATTACGATCGTATTGTGAACATATCAATTTCAACTCCAATTACTAGAATATTCAGTACATTTCGAAATCTAGGATTCTTCGCATGCATAAGGTAAAAATGAAGGAATTGATTTGAGTCAACTAAAAGCTTACACTGATAGTTGGAATATACATTTACATACATTATTATATATGTCACCACAGTTAGTTATCATGCACATGTTGAAATAATATAGGAGTGCAAAAACTTGAATCAGAGGATGACTGATTAAAAATACAATACTATTTATCTCTACCTCTTTCCGCAAGATATTTAATGCTTCGCCAACATATGGAACAAACTCTTCAGGATTGAATTCTCTGACTTTCTCGACATCTATAGCAGTTTGCATAGGATCAAATATGACTGGACCTTCCCCCTTTATAATGTCAAATGGTATGTTCATTCCAGAGAGAGGGGTAAGAATGTCTGAAAATAAAATAACCTGCCACAATATTCAAAGAGATAGTTTAATCAAATCACAAGCTAAAAGATTGTGATTTTATCAATAGCATAGTGAAATCATGAACTTGCATCTTACCCCATCAGGACGAAACACTTTCCATGGCTGTAGAGAAATTTCCACCACAAGATCTACATTTTCTGATCTCTCACGAAACGATGGATACTTCTCAGAAAGGATTTGGTAACTCTATTTTGGAAGTGAAGAGAATTAGGTACAATAAACACTTTAATCTAAGAAAACAAATGCATAATACTGGATATCAGAAACCGTTAGGAGTATCAGATTGGGATAATACAGAGACATGAATTTGTAAGATCTTAAGCCAAGGCTAGATAATCGGCTGGATTCAATTGTTACTGTTGTTTGATACATTCTCATTATGGTTCAGTCAAGTGATCCTAACCTATTGCAAATTCAATGAGAAACCATAACAAGCCTTTCCATCCACCATCAATTTGGACCGCTACAAATATCTAAATAAGTAAATATATATAAGCAAGCACTCAAATTAATAGGCTACAAAGAGGATATATGTATAAACCTGCCTTCATATACCTCCCGGCTTGTCTCATAAGCCAAACAGGAGGTCTTTCCACCTTTTTCCCACGAACCGCATTGATCAGAAGAGGTTCAGTAGCACTGATCACTTTTGGTTCAGCAACAGTCCCTACAAATAAGAAAAAAAATCTATTTTTCTTTGGGCTCATTCTGAATAGGCAAGAAGATCAACAAGAATGCACCATTCAGTTGAAGACACATTACGATTGAATACTGTCAAGTCCCAACAACAATAAATCGATTTCTAAATGACTTCATACAGTTCATAGCATAATAGGTGAAATTCAAAGAAAAAGACATACCCATTACCCAGTAAAACACGCATTTTGAGAAACTATTCAACCAGTAGCACAGATTTTTTTGGAAAGTAACCTTGTGAAAAGTCCTTTTTTACATAAACCAGTGATAGCCAAATACAAAAAAGAAGCATAATGGACAAGCTGAGTTGGGCCATTCCTCATCCGCATTTCTCTACTACTACATCTCTCCATGAGGGAGAAGAAGTAGAACTGGTTCAAAACATTTCACTCTCCACCATTTCCCTCCTAACTAGATAGGGATAACCACACCAATACCTAGATTCTTATTTCCAGCATACCAGAACATAATTGGCATATGGTTATTGGCAACAAACAATTGAGTGTGCACATTCTGTACTTGCAGATCATATGTTCAACTTTTCTACAATTTCTGGTCTGGATATTTGTCCAAACTAACTCCTAGTTTAACAGAACCCAATGGATAGTCGGGCAGGATGCTAAACATGGAGCTTTACTACTGCTATGGCCACATTCGCACTAGGTTAATCCAAAGAGCCTAGCTCTAATGAGGAATTTCATCAAACACCACAACTGCCAATATGACATTTTAAGGGTAACCAACAGTTTAACTTCTTCTTTAAGGGTTATTACTAAATGTGTGACATTCTGTGTCAATGTGGGTTATAAGCTGAGAGAATTGTGAAATTGTACGAGAATATTACCTCCTAGAGAGCAATAGATTCTTGACTTAAACTTGTCCTGAGATGAAGAAGAAGAACTTAGAGTGGGTTTGGAGTACACTGAGATTGCTGAGAAAGATGGAAGTGATGTGTAAATGCAAGACATATTTTGGTGGCATGAAATTATCTGGGCAGAATCAGAAGCGCCGGTGTATAACGTCTAGGTGCGGAGCTCCGTTGTACGGCGTTCACCTGTCGGAGGTAGCGAAGAGTTAATGCAGAAGTGTGAGAAGAAGAAATTGTGTGGGTGGGAATTGGGAAAACAGGGGAAGCACGATCGGATAGATGATTGATTCATCACGTGGTTTTCAAATATCTATTTAGAAAAATTGAAAACGTAAGCTACAAACAGTCATAAAAATATTTTAGAAAAATATAAAAATATTTTTATAAGTTTCCAAATTAAATATGTTTAAACATGTAAAAAATTATTATGAAAATTCTACAAACGTACCAAAGTTATAAAACAAAATTTAGCCATTTTTTATTTATTTTCACTAACATTTCATTTTTTCTAATTTATTTTTTCCAGTTGTGTTTACAAGTTATGATTTGGTATTATTTTCTTTTACTCAATTTTACATTTTCTATTTTCAAAAAGTAAAATGTGACTAAAATTTTAATGATTGAAAGCTTTAATCTCGTTTTTTCATCAAAATATGTTTTATTTAATTTTTATGCTATGTTAATTCTAAAAATCTAAATTCTGTATGATGGATAGTGTACTCGGGGGTAGTTTATCCGAGGGGTTATTGCGGAGAATAAAAAGAGAGAAGTCAGAGCAAACAAATAAAAGAGAGAGTATGTATTTGATATGAATTTAGCGTGGTTTACATTTTACAATGGGGAAAAGGGGACTATTTATAGCAGCAATAAATGTTAGACATGGACACGTGTCAAGCATCCGATGGCCGAGAGTCACCTCAATCGGGGTGGCACCGTCACTCGCATGTGACCGCATTAAATGCGGTGGTTGGATGCGACGTTGTACTCGGTACGGTGATTCAGGTGCATGTGGAGAGGAGATTCTGTCGAGGATGACGTCGCAGGGTATTTGGCCGAATGCTCTTCTAACCAGGGGCCTCCCTATGCTGAGGGCTGTATATGCCGAAGGCTTGATTTTCAAGCCTCGTTCTCCTGTGATGTTTCTGAGCTCGATTCTGTCAATGGTAGCCTTCGATCATGGGGCCGAAGGTACCCCCTTGCGTATTGTGGGCTGCTTAGAGCTTCATTTTGTTGGGCTTGGTCCGTTTGGGCCTGTTGGGCTTGATTGAAGTAGTTGAAGTATGTGGGCCAGGGATCCCTGGGCCATATACTCCATCACTGAAATTTATCCATTTTAGTATTTGTAATTTCGTTCTATTTTTTATATTATTATATTTTATAAATTATACGATATAGTTTATCGTTCAATTGTAATGATTTGGGGCATAAGTTTTGGAGGTTTTGACTATTTTTAATGAAAATGCATTAATATTGTACTCGCTCTGTCCCTAATAACTTTGTCAAGTTTGACCGACACGAAGATTAATAAAGTAAAAATTGTGTGGATGAGGTTTGTGCAGAGGAAAGAAAATTAACTGGAATCACAAATTCTTTACTTAAAAAGTAAAGTGGCAAAGTTAGTGGGATATCCAAAAAAAGAAAGTTGACAAAGTTATAAGGGACGGAGGGAGTAATTTTAAGTGATATAATTATGGTAATGGTCAAAAATGTAGAGAAAATGTATCACTTAAAATAAAAATTTTAATGCATTTTCATTAAAATAACCAAAACCTCCAAAACTTATGTCTCAAATCACTAGAATTCAATGATAAACTATATCATATAATTTATAGAATATAATAACATAAAATAAAGAAAATAGAAAGAAATTAAAATTACTAAGATTAAAAAATAGAGAATTTTGATTTTTACAATTAAGATAGCATAAAAGGGAGAACTACCAAACCAGCCCTCAAACTTTCATAAAAAGTGCAAATAAGCTCTTTTATAGGAGTCTATGTCCGCCCATCGCTATTTGGGATGGTTTCCGGTAGAATTTTTTAAAGATTTTTTTTTGAGCATCTTCTTCATTAAGTCTAGTTTACTCATACCAAATTTCAGCTAAAAATTCAATCTGGAAGGCAGTCAAATGAATTTTTGAAGATAACTGCACAGTTATGCAGCATAGTATTTTTCAGAAAATTGACATATCACGTCACCCATTTAACGTCGGTTCTTGAAAAACCGTCGTAATAAAACTATTTGACGTCGGTTTCTACAAAACCCGACGTTGTATCTTTTTTAGTATTTTTATTTTATTCTTTTAAGGACGGTTCACTAAACAACCGTCGTGGTAACATAATGCATTTTTCAATTGTTTAATTCAACGTCAGTTTTAAAAACCGTCCTAAAAAATGTATATGCGTTTCAAGTTTGCAGATGCTTTACTTTTGTTTTGCCTCTTTTTATTTTAATTAAACAAACTAAATAAAACCCCTCTCTTAGACGAATCTGCGCACGAACCCTACTCCTCGCCAAATTCGTTCGATCAAGCTAATACAAGGTTAGCGTGTAAAAATTGGGAAGCTCGACGATGTGGAAATGAAATTGGGAAGTTTTATTCAAGATTTTTGAAGATTTAGAGTCGCTTCAGTAGCCGACGCCAAGGATTGCAGCGGCGCTCGCCCGCCGGCTACTGGTGGGACACATCAGCAGAGCTCGTCCGGCGGTTAGATGGGTGACGCTAAAGAGAGTAAGGGACTCCCTTTGGTTAGTAAATATTCTTTTCAAACTCGCTTGTGAAACTGTTTTGCGCAAATCGCGCTCCTATGTGAAAACTCTATTGACTCTGCGCACACATCCTACGAGTAATGAGTAAGACTCTTTTCTCTCCTGAATATAAAATCTTCCTCTTTTAATTACTCCATATATGGCTTCTTGCAATTGCGATTTTCAGGACAATCACTTCCCTTCTAGCCGATCCAATTCTTGCTATGTCTTCGTATGCGGTATTTTTCGACCTTATTTATGCGACTGAACATGAATACTTCATACAGAGTAGTATTTTAAAAATAAATTTTCAAAGTTTAAGTCTATGTTTAAGAGTTTGATGGCACATCAGAGTACCCAATGAATCTGCGACATACTCTGCTTATATCTTTTGTCCTCTCCATTCTTAAGGGTTGAAACAAGGGGCTATTTTAAGGGTTGAGTTGTGGTTGTTCTAATTCTCTAAATAGTTGCTTTTAGTTATAGAAACTTGGTGAGAAGGGAATAAAAGTGAATTACATAAATTAGTTTTTGTGGGGCCTAAATGATCAAAGGGATGATGTACATATTTAAGTCTTGAAAATGTAGTACCGAGATGAATGAAGTCTAAATTGATGCATGTGAGTGAGGGAATCAATTTCTTTGTTTTGTTTTAAATTGATGCACTTGTCTTGCAATCTTTTACACGCTACTCCGTACTAGGATTGCCTTCTTTGTCCAATAGACTTTGAAGCCAATATGGCATTTATCACAACTATGGGCAGTACAAGTCTTCTGTTAGCTGCAAGCGGCAAATCCTTATTGGATGAGGACAGAGTAGCCATATTTTATGATGCGCTGAACCATGAATCAATCATCGACGATATATGCCTTACTGAGAAATAAAAAGACGTTTTTGTTTGTCTACAGACACTGTGACATGTCCCACCCTAATGAACTGTTGTATCTTGTATGTTATGCCTTTATATTTTTCTTGCCTTTTTGCTATTTTTTCTTCAACTTTCTCGTGTGCTTAGTTCTGTAAATGTGTTTTTATACAGATCAAGTTGCAGAATGGAAAAAAAGGTTGTCATCACTGATAGGTCACCCATTTTAGTCAGTATCAACTACTCCTTACCTCAAAGTATAGTAGAGGTAAAATTCATGTTATTTAACAGGTGATTAGTTTTTATTTGGGGTTTTCGGCTTTACTATTTTATTTAGTATGGATGGACATATCGCACCAATAGGTGACTTGTCAAACTTCTTAAGAAGCATATATTTTTGTTGGCAATTGGTGATGTAAGTTTAAATTTGCATGAGCTTTTCTTCTATATTTCAGATATTGGTATTCTTGCTATTTTCCCTAAATTGTAGCTTGAATACTAAGCTTGTAAAAACAGTGTTCCACATATGAACGGAAGATCTAGCTAGTACCCTAGCCTGCTCTTATAGAATATCACCTCACAAAAGTGAGATGCTTGCATACTACAGCGGGCAAACCTGGATTTAATAAATAATTATACATAGTATTAGTTATTATCATTAATTATAAAATTCAGATTAGTTATGGAGTAGATAATTTGTTTTTCTATTTCCTGTCTTGTAAAAGAGAAGAAGAATATAAATATCTCCAATTGGGGCGGTTAACGTTAGATTTTTTTGATGAAATTTTTTGGGCATCTTCTTCATTAAGTCTAGTTTAATCATACCAAATTTCAGATAAAAATTCGACCGGGAAGGTAGTCAAATGATTTTTTGAAGATAACTGCGCAGTTAAACAACGCAGTACATTTCGGAAAATCATTTGACTGCCTTCCCGATTTAATTTTTATCTGAAATTTGATATGGGTAAACTAGACTTAATGAAAAAGATGCTAAAAAAATTACATCAAAAAATTTTATTGGTAACCGCTCAATTGGCGACGGCCGGACAGAACCTCTTAAATAAGGGGCTAATTGAACACTTTAAGTTAGTTCATGTACCTACTTGACCAATTAGCCTATTATTTTATCGATTTCCTAATTGAACATCTTTGTTTGTAGTGAATGAATCATCTTTGTTTGTAACAGTCTTAGTTTCAGAATTCGTAGTGACAGAAAAATCCGGTGTTGGTGAATTGATGGCTTATTTCAAACCAAATTGTTCTATAAACAATAGTCAAGGTGTTTGCCTATGTTTTTCATGTTATTTGCTCCCAGGATTGATATCAAATGTACTGCCCTCAAGGTGTTCGATGAAATTCCTGAAGGTCGCGAATAGTTTAATAAAGTTCTTAAAGGTCCGAGGACTGATTTGGTCTCTCTATTTCAGAGCAATGATCATCAACAAGGACGCGAACAGTTTAATAAAGTTCTTAAAGGTCTTCTGCCAAGAATACTAGATGATAACAAGCGAGTGCAAGAAGCTGCCTGTTCCGCTTTTGCAACACTTGAAGAGGTTTCCAATCAAGAGAACTATTCACAACTTCATTTCCGTTGTTCTCATATGTGTTCTGTGACTATTTTTCCGTTGCGTAGGAGGCTGCAGATGAGCTGGTACCATGTCTAGAGACTATTTTGCAGCACTTAATGTGTGCCTTTGGAAAGTATCAGGTTGTCTTTACCATGTATGTTCAACAGCTCAATTCTTTTCATCAAAGTGTGCTTACTTTTGTTTTATGTAGAGACGAAATCTTCGAATTATTTATGATGCCATTGGAACACTTGCAGAGGCTGTGGGAGGAGAATTAAATCAGGTATAAAGTGTAGAACTGATAGAGGGCTCCTACATATGATTTTGCTTTTTGAAAACCATTGTAGTTTTCTTGGTGTCTAATTGTCTATATTAACCTACTCATAGTTCAGAGCACATTTCTCATCTATATTGTTTCTAGGCTGATTATTTATTTATTTAAATATATGCAGCCCAGATACTTGGAGATATTAATGCCCCCATTGATTGTAAAGTGGCAGAAAATTTCAGATTCAGATAAAGACCTTTTCCCACCGCTGGAATGCTTTAGTCTTTACGTCTATTGCACAGGTACTTTCTCCAAATAAAAAATGGGGTTATGCCCCTTGTATAATCTTATGTGACCGTGATGCCTGATGTGAACAGTGTGAAGCCATGAAGCAACTGGTCTGTTACATGTACTGGATTTCTTGATTGTAGTGTTTTATTTTTAACCTTGGATTTTTGTAATGTGTAGATGTGTAGATGTACATAGATTTGTATATGTGTTTTGATATTCTACACACTTTGTCTGCAAATATTTTTTGTATTCAGTTTGTTAAATATGTTTGAATATACTAAATTTAGACCTTTTTGGGAAACCATCGATGGTTATTTAAAATAACCAACATAGTGCATGTATATTTTTTTTTCTAAAAAAGCTACTTCTAACGTCAGTTTTTTGAGAGAACTGACGTAATATGTATTTTTTTTATTTTTTTGAAATTACATTCAACGTCGGTTTTGTTATAAAACCGACGTTATAGGGTTTCACTTATAACGTCTCTCACTTACACGTCGGTTCCAAAACCGACGTTAAAAGTATAAAATAACTGACGTTGTAGGTTCCTTCTCTAGTAGTGAAATCATTTGACTGCCATCTCGATTGAATTTTTAGCTCAAATTTGGTATGGGTAATCTAGACTTAATGAAGAAGATGCTCAAAAAATTACATCAAAAAATTCGACAGGAAACATCTCCAGATGTCGACGGGCGGACAAAGCATCCTGTAAAAAGGCTTATTTGCACTTTTTATGAAAGTTCGAGGGCTCATTTGATAGTTCTCCCTAGCATAAAATTTTATAAAAATAGTTTTTCATGAAAAAATCTATGACAATGATTTAAATCGTATTTTATTTATTCACAATATACTTTTTGACAACAAAAAATGTAAAATTGAATAAAAGAAAATAATACAAAATCATAACTTGTTAACACAACTAAGAAAAATAAATTGTAAAAAAGAAAAAACAAATAAAATTTTAGTGAAAATAAATAAAAAATGACTGAAAATATTTTTATTTAACTTTGACACATTTGTAGAATTCACATAATTAGTTTTATATATTTAAAAATATTTAATTTGGCAATTTAAAAAAATATTTCATATTTTTTTAAAATTGAGAAATGATAGTTGAGATTAATAAAAGAAGACCGATTATAGTTGAGATTATTTATAGCTTACGTATAGTTCGTATTTAAATTTGACCTGCTATACCAGGTTGTAGGAGGTTAGGGATTATTTTTGGAAAATGGTCCCTATAGTTGGAACCATCCAAGAATAATCGATAGTCGGGATTATAATTAGCGACGGATCGACAATAGTTGGGATTATTATTTTCAATTTTTCCTTGTTATTTTAAAATTTGTTATAATAGGATTTGATACATTATTTAAGGAGAAAATAACAAGAGCAATTGAGAATTTCTAAGGGTTAATTATTAAAAGAGGACCAAAAAATAAATTATGTTTCATAGGACTAATTATGTATGTGTTGGACAAATATACCCTTATAGCTATTGAAATGTTTTAATTTATAATAAAATAATAAAAAAATAATAAAATTCGTAAAAAATACTAAAAAATTAATAAAATATTTTAAAAATAATAATTTAATTTTTTTAACAAAAAATTATATATATATTTAAAAAGAATCACAAAAAAAATCACCGCTGCCTCTGCTGCCCTAGCACCACCACCCCCGAGGGAAAAAATGTCACATGCATTATGAATGTCATATTTATGGCAGATTCAATGAAAAATTTGTCATTCTCAAAAAGTAATATGCCATTTTTTGCCGGTTTCATAAAAATGGCATTTTTTTTTAGAGAAAATGGCTTTTTACACCGATCGAAGATGGTGATGAAGGGAGACAGTACAAGCGGTGGGAAAGGTATCCATAATTTTTTTAATTTTTTTATGGATTTTTACTATTTTTTATTAATATAATTTTTTTTATAAATATTTTATTAATTTTTTATTATTTTTCTACGTTATTATTTTTTAGAAATTTATTATGAATTAAAAATTTAATCATGAATTTTGACTACCTTTTACTCATATTTAAAGGAGTGGTAAGAATGAAATGAAAAAAATATGTATGTTTCCCATAGGACTAATATAGTCCTATTTTGGAATAAAAACATAAGATGCCCGTCAACCAGGAAACCGGACAATTACCTGGAAAATGGCCAATTTGATCATTTTTTATCACTTCGTGGACCTAATTGATTCACTAAAAAGTACGAGGACCTATATGCATTTTCCCCAAAACTTATTATAAGTGGAAATGGGAAAAAATGAATGGGACCTTGAAAGAATGAAAGTACCTTGTTTAGGCCATTGCTGGGATATGATTGGGTGCCATAACTGTGGCGTAACATATGAAAAAAATCACACAGGATTTAGTGAATATCTGTTTGTTTGTCTTTGCCATATATATGATCCTGCCTTGCCCTCCTTCCTGTAAAGATATACTTTGTTTTGCTTCCATGTACAAAGTCCAAAACAAAAGACTAAAAATGCTTCATCAAATGACAAGTACTCCTTTATATGAAAAGCAAAAAGGACCGACAAAATAACTAGGGTCGTAAACGAATTGAATAATTTTGATTCGATTCGTGATTCGAAACTGTCGATTCGAATTCGAGTAAGTAGAATATGAATATGAATACAAATCTATTTTTTGAATCGAATACTTTACGAATACGAATACAAATACTATGATATTCGATTCGAATAATATTCGAATATATTCGAATTATATATATATATATATATATATATATATATATTCATACAATATATACTACTTATGAATACATATAGTTCAATGTAAAAATATTAATAACAAAATATTCATGTAAATATTTTGCATATTTTAATTTAAAAATTCTTACTTTATCAGATCAAAATAGGTTAATTTACAATTAAAATTCTCCGTTGATTTATATATATTGATATTAAATTTGAAGTGACTTCTATAAATGAATTTTGTTTCCTATGATATGAAAATTAGTTAAAAGGGGCAAACTAACATCATAATTTTAATTATTTTCACAAATTAACTTTAATGTTTTTTGAATTCGAATATTCGAATTCGAAAAAGATTCGAATATATCAAACGAATCGAATACGAATACAAAATAAGATTCAAATTTTAAACGAATACGAATACGAATATTCGATAATTATACGAATACGAATAATATTATCAACTAGTCCTGATACAGATGAATCCACTGTGCTGATTCCCATCTGTCAACATAGCCACCGCCTTTCCAATTAACTTCAGTCTTTCAGCCCCCTTTAGATCCCAGGGAAAGATAGGAAAGAAAAACAACAAACATAGAAGAAAATTGGAAGGAAACAGCATATAGGAAGACAATAAAAGATAGTCTGAAACTAAAAAGTATAAATTTGGCAGAAACTTGTTTCACTTGTGGGGAAGTTGGACTGTGCACCCCATTTTAGTACGCAAATTTGATTTCGTACCCCTTTTTCAAAATCATTGATATTTGTGCTAAGATCAAAGAAACTGCTAAAAATGGGATGTAAACTCCAATATATAGTGCAAACTGCTAAGAGAAGGGTGTAAACTTTAAGGTTTAGGGTGCAAACTCAAATTTGAATCAAATGTTGGGATGCAATCTCCAATCC